AGGATTAAACCTTTTATCAGCTACTAAAATAATATTTATAATTATTCTCCAACCTTTAGTTGAATTTAAATAACAAAATTAGCTCCGGTGACGAACTTAAGTGCATCTTTAATATAAAAACGTTCTTAAAAATATTTTTCTAATTAATTTAACCGGTTTTAAACTAATAGATTGTGTTCTGTTGCGCATTAATTATAAAAATAAGTTTATATTTCAAACGAAGATACTTGTTATTCGCGTATCTCTTATTGCTGACAAAAAACTCATCAAACTTCTAAATGGCGGAAGCAATTTAAAATGATCGTGTTTATTCCAAAAAGAACCTTTGAAGCAAGATGTAAACAATTTTAATCACAAGATACTGACTACTTTACCTCCATTTTCCACAATAACTCAGAAGTTATTGCAAGTTTTAAAACATTTTGCCTTAATACGAGTACAAATAAGTGCCATTAATATTGTAGAGTAATGATGTTTTATATAATTAATTAACTCAAAAACTGCTTGATCGATTTCAAAAATTCTTGCACCATTCTACATCATCCCTAATTATTTTTTTGTAATGTATAAACACACAAAATGTTGTTAGGTTCTCGATAGCTTCGTCGAAAGCTTATCAGCAATTGTTACTAACTCGACAGGCGTAACTACTACATATTATTACAAAGCAGAAAGTATGGATGAACATCTCAGGAACTATTTTTGCCAATTGATAACGTACTTTTTTGTTTTATATGCTGCGTTTGATTTAACGCTGTAAAACAGCAACGATCGTAATATACCATTGTTAGACATTTCTCATGCTTGTAATAAGTTCGGTTGGCGTTTGACCTGTCGCAGTCTTTTGGCTAGATATGCGCCGCCATATTGGAAGTTACAGAGTATCGGCAATGGTTGTTTTATTTTGACTTTATAAAAAGCCTTACCCAGGTTTAAGGGTAAATTTTACAGAACAATGTTATTCTACCTTTGAATTCTGGGGCTTTTCGTTTTCTATAAACACTAAATATACCTATTGCAGTTCTACAAGCAATATATATGCGAATTATGACAATTTTGTTTAAATACTACTCTTTCACCGAATTAGAGGCAATTTGAATTTGACTAGACTAGACTTGACGTTTACTTTTAAGTATTTGGGGTTGAATTGAATTTTATTGAAATTTAGGAAAACACAAAAGTACACTCGTTTTAATCCGGTAAAAGATTTTGATTTTCGCGCAAATAAAAATGTATATATAATAGCATTCTAAATATTTACTAAGGCCGCATACTTAACTTTATATCAATTATTATGACTAGATATATTGAAAATATATTATATACATTGACCCTTTGGCAAATTAGAGTAAATAACACAGACAGACAATAAATGGAAATAATTCTGAAAATTTCTACTATAATAGCATCGTAAGGACGTATGATTTCTTTATTGGTATTAATCGATTGTCTATGGTAAAATTATCTGTTTTAACCCACTTTTTAATGCCCATTTCTTACATTGTAATGGCTTATAAATGAGCAACCGTTTATGGAACAGTTATTATAGAATCTTTGGGATATCTCTTTTTTCAACCGTAACATAATCTTCTATTAACACGTTCACTGCGGCAAGTAAAATCATAATTCTTCATCAGGTGCGGCGGCGGGCCAAAATGCGCCCCCAATGATATTTCCGCCAGTGCGTGGCAGGTCTTTCTAGACCCAACAGCACTAGGATAGATTAACTCTCAGTGGATGCACAGCAGCGTCAGTGCGTGGTAGGTCGATAAAAGCCTTCCGTTATGTTTTGATGGGGAACACCTACAATTTTGACCGCAAGATTAAATATATATTTGTCCCTGTCGAATTTTTACAAACACCTGAGATAATCGTTACGCACCAGCGAGAGGGACATAGATTTCTTCGTCCGCACCAGCTGAAATACCGCGGCAGGCCGATATCGGCCTGTTACGCAGTGAACGTGTTAACTATTGAAATAAGGTAGTCTAAAGTACAACGTCCGAGATCTATATACTCTCGTACTTGCTACGAGTCTTTGATTTGACACTGAATCTCTACAAATTTTTTAAGTTTATTAGAGTTTATTGTGTAAGAAAATAATCAATATATTAACAATATATGACTATACATTAACAATGACTTAAAAGTATTCTACTTATCATATAAAAATGATTCAAATAAAATCATATATATTGTTAACATGCACATAGCAACAATGAAATACTTTGAAACATCCTGTTTGTCATCGATATTTTCTTTTAATTAATTGAGAATGATTTAATTTAAAAAACAACGACTCGTTACAATTACGACTAGTGAATTTATGAAATCCCGACGCTAGGCAACAACTTTTCAATAACGAAGGATATCTCTGAAATAAATACACATGAATAACTTAAAATATAATATTCATTCTTTTAGGGATTAAATTCCCAGCAATAGATTTTTACCGACTTCGTTTATTATTTTAAGAATAGTTTAGAATTTATCCGAATATTCTATATCTGGTTATAATAAAAGAGGCCTTCCGAGTAGCGTGTGTGCATTTTTACTAATGAACTTATTGTCATTGAATTACAAGACTTGAATAACAGAAATTTTAAATACTTAGTCCATATATATTATACTAATTTATACTAAACGAAAATATATAAATAAATTGTTCCCATGACTCTCCTATGTTATATCCTCAATATATTATATACATTCATAACATCTAATTAATAAAACTGAATAATCGAAATTTTTGTAGTGTTTTAGGCACTATTTAGACAGCCATCAATATTAATATCTTAAAATCAAGCTTCACTTACGCTAATTTTTATAAAAATTACAAACTATATCGTTAAGTAGGTAACAATTTTGTCTAATCTAAAGGAGTGTATATATTAAAAGGTTTGTGATAAATAATTCTCAGAATTAGCAGAAATTTATCAAGTGGGTATATATTATTTAGCAATGTTTTACATACACCTAATTAAATTTAGGGAATAATCGATTGTTTGTTAAAATCTCGTTATTTATCGATAAAATTGAATAAAGTTGCCTCATATGACGTATGTTTAATTTTTTAATTAGTGTAAACAAAGGTTAATTGTTATCAATCTGTCAATATTTGACATGTCCGTCCTTATATAACATAGACAAACACAGATAATCTTTAATCTACGTTTTATAAGGAAGCACAGATGGTTTGAAGCAACTCACCCCTTTACACATACGTTATAACATCAATGAAACATTGCTTCTTGACATTATGAACACATTATTACGTCACAAAACAATTGTAATTAATTTACATAATTCCGTGTCGTTTTAAGGTGGTACAAGGATCTTTTGATTATTATTACTGCCCTATGGCGCACAATAATCAAACTTCGGCCTTAGAGAATAGGGTTCAATTTAACCACCGTTTATTTACGAGATCTATATCGTCAAAAGGAACTTGTAAACAATCAATCTGACCATATACCGTAAGGTAATAGAAAACTTGTATGTAATTCGTCAAATTTTATGTGTCATAACTCTTCCATCTATGGATCGCAATAATATAGGAGTAAAAGGATTCCGCTCAACAAAAAAATGGCACAATAGTAACAATTTTGTAATGTGGTTTTTTTTGCCATTTTAGAACAGTCACAGATTTTCTGGTATATCTTAAGTTTGTCTAAAAACCATCAGGTTATTCTTCATAATTTAATATAAAATGTCTACAAGACATAAATATTTAATAATAGTCTTTCAGTTCTAAACTTATAGTAGCCTATGTTCATGACGTTAGAACACATGCAAGTTACACTAGTAACTAAGTTCTACGAGTCTATTATCTGGTCTATTATCCGTGACGTTTACAGTACTTTCAAACATTTATTTTAGTTACTCGGTAGATCAGCTAACAGTGCATTAATTAAATAAAATACTGCTTTTCTCAAAGTATTCCCATTTTCTCACTTCAAATAAATTTGAAATCTATTCGCCGCAATATCATATGTCCGTTGCGGGTCTTTACATAATGCTACTAGTTTTGAGCTGGCATTACAGTCATCGTCAGCATATTTAAACCCGTGTAGGCAGAGACTAAAGTATTTAAGTTTGCCTTTATAGCAGTGTTTTATTTAATAAACATATATGCAATCGACGTAAATATTACAACTAAAATAGAACCACTATGTCATACGATATTCATAAGTGATATATTTAAATTTAATTTAAATTAATTGGTTCCTTGTAAACATGAACGTTTGTTATACATAGTATAAACAAATCTAATGTTGGCTAAGCGTCTATAAAGCATCCAGGTCCTTTATTCACTAACACTTCCGAAACTTGGGAACAGCGAACTAAACTGTGGCCTCTCCGCTCATCCGGGGTAAACATTTCACATTTCAGCACTTAACACCATTATAAATAAGTAAAAAAGAGTCGGTAAAGTCATCGAAATGTTTTCAGTTTTTGTATCTGCAATGCATTTTAATTTTCCATTGCTTTATTGAACAAAAAAAATTGTTATTATAGCGGAAACATTTATTAGATATTAATGTCTTTATAAAGACATGATTTAATTATTATACTTTCTTGTTACTGACTATTTATTTATGGGATTTATACGTTCAAAATATTGTGCATCTAAAACAACTTAAACATCAGCAGACGATTTTCAACATGTATTGTTAGCGATTTTAATTGTATATAGAGCTACTTTATAAATTATCCGATATTTATTCAAATAATATTACGAACTAAAATCGCATGAAAGTCTAAAAAAACTACTTTTCTTTGAATGAAGAACTGAATCATACTAACGCTGTGATAAGTATTGTGTAATAGGTTTTTATTAGAATTACCTCTGAACAGTATTTTAAAGTGTCAAACGACTTAAAAGAAAGTGCTTTGTTGATGCTATCTACCGGTGAAAGAGTTTACCCGTGGTCGGGGTGAGGGGTGGAGGGAGCCGAGTAGCGTCGAGTTCAGCACAGCAGTTCGGAGTTAGGCGGTACTCAGCTGGGCAGGGGCGGGCGGGGTGCTGGGCCCGCGCTCTCAGGGGCGGAGTGCGCTCGCGCCGTCGTTGGGCTCGCTGGCCAACCATGAGTAGGTGGCATTGTTCTGATATTGTCAAGTGTATATTAATAGTTATTATCTAATGCTATTAATGCTACTTTTAAAAAGTATAGATTTAACAATTAAAATAGCAATAGTACCATAGTAAATAGAGGCGGTTGAAAAATTTTAACGGACCTGGCATATGGAGAAATATTAGGTGCTGGGGGCGTTGGCACAGCTGCTGCATCTGGATGGAGGAAGTTCCGCCTCTGCTCAGCTCGCTCCCAGCACTGCTGTAGACATCGAGCCATCATATCTGGTAGGCTGTTTACTTGCTCCTGAAATTATTGATTAAGACCTAACTATTTAAAAATATATGAAGCTGCATTTATTTTATAGTAGTCGATAACGTATTTAACCGTTTGTAATAAATGTTTAAAGTAGTGCCTTGAAAAGTATATAATGGTAGAGTCTTCAAGTAAAGAATAATTCAACTTGACTGTTAAATTAAATAGCCGATTAGCAAAAGATTGATTAATGTATTCATTTATTCAATTTAAGAGATCATAATTCAGCGATAGCTTTAGCGCCCGATAGTTAAAAAAATAAATTAGTGGCCCTTCACTCCTACAACCTTTTTAGGTCTGGGTCTCAGTTTCTGTTACTGTTCATTATCATTTGCCAATATAATAGGCAAGTGATCAGCCTGTGTCTGAAACACCGTTGACTTTTTGGGTCTAAGGCAAGCCGGTTTCCTTACGATGATTTCCTTCACCGTTCAAGCAAATGTTAAATTCGCACATGGAAAGAAAGTCCATTGGTACATGCGGGGACCTCAGGGATGAGAGTCGCACGCTGAAGCCACTAGGCCATCACTGCTTTTTGTTACCATGGTAACAATGTTTTTTCCACAATGGCAAGATACATTTTTAATCCACGTTTTATAATGAGGTCATTATATAGTATTAAAAAGGAAAGTATGGTATTAAAATTCCAAAAATATACAAAATCATTACAAATTTAATTAATTTTATTTATTATTACTAATTCTCAGTTATAAAATTATTAAGTGCTGTTATTATTTTCATTTGGCGTTTTTGTTCTTAACTTACCTGTAGTGTAGATAATTTTTCTTCTAAACTAGTCAATCTCTCCTCTATACTATCTTGTCTTGAGCTCATGTCTGATACAATCTCGTACACGGTATTCTGGGTCTGTAACAGGAAGGGGTCCTACTATCAATCGCATTGCAGCTCCATACACATAGATATTATTAGTCGTGGTTACTTGTTCAGTGTTACATTTGTGTGTGTGTGTTGAGATTTGTGGATTAACTATAATTATTTAGAGACTGCTCGGAAATATTTTAATGGAAATATTCTCCCCGAAATGTCTCAATAATGTTCATTGGTTAAACCTTGAACTCTTTTAATTCGTTCAGCGGTTGAAGGACGTGTGCATTTAGCGATTCAGTATATCTTACTTATCATTGTTTTTGTTGTCAGTGTATCTATCTTATAATATTAATTTAATTTTCAACATTTAAAAAAAATCTACACTGAATCATTTCAGTATTTAAACGGCTTTGTTTTCGAAAACTTAACACGCGGGTTTTATTTTATTACTAGTATTTAGGGTGTATGTTTGAGATTCTATTTAATAAGTTTGCTAGGCACGGCTTGGAGATAAAATCTCTTTTTTACTATATTTGATATTTCAATGTAATATACTCATTTGACCTCTCAACAAAATTATTAACGTCACAATACACGTCCAATACGTTTTCCTAGGCAAATTGATCTCCAGGAGAGGTGATATAAATTGGCCTCCACGCAGTCCTGATTTAACACCTATGGATTTTTTCTTATGGGGTTATCTTAAATCTAAAGTCTACGCCAATAAACCGACTTATCTGGCGCATTTGAAAGAAAATATTCGTCACGAAATGGCAGCCATCACTGAGTAAACCTGCCGAGCCGTCATAAGTAATTTTATTGTTCGATTGAATGAGTTCCGCGAACGCGAGAGTCTACATTTGGACGGTATTATGTTTAAGAAATAAATTCCCAAAATGTGTACTTTGATAATGAATAAACACTTTTTTTGATAAACGACTTACTTTTTTTTAATCGATAAAAATATGAACTTTCTTTTGAGACACCTGTTACTTTTGTGTAAGTTGATTCAGATATTACTACAGTTAATGTAAACACGTGATTATTTAGTTTATTATATGTATTTTCAAGATCGATAAGTAATGTGGAATTATTTTAAAAATATAAAACCATGCAGGCTACTTTATCTAATTTCGTCTACTGCGGGGAGCATGCTTTGCGCTATGAATGAGCCTCACTACGATGGCGTGAATTTAGCGTTATATATTTTGGACGTATTTTTCATAGATATATTTTATTAGGGAATTATCTGCGTACAAATACCTTCACTAACAACACTTATCGTGTACTGCCATCTGTTATTATTAAGTGTATCTAAAGGCGAGGACACATGGCGTAATATAGGATACAGTTTACAAATCTACATCGTTTCTACTTTGAAGTTTGCGGAACAATGTGCTTCTAACTGTCTAAATGGATGTGTATGGAGTAGCATAGCTTACTAACAGGAGTCAAAAGGTTTTGAATTACCTTAGCCATGTCTGTTATTGTATTTGCGTTGTCCATCAGTTTTCTCTGGTCCATTTTCACTTTTCTTAACCTGAAATATATAAAGGCATTTTTAATCTAAGAGATACTTCTGTTATTATTTTATAAGTAATAAATACTATTGTAACATATTTGTTGGTTCTAATTCTACACATTTAAGGGCTACGACACTAAATAGGTATAATTGTATATCTCAGAAATCCCATACTATTAAGGATATCAACTGTGGACGCTATTTTTGAAAACCCCTAGGGATATTCAAAGAGTTAAGATTTAGTGCTAATTATGTTATAAACGTCCCAATCCAATGATTGTTACTTGTGCTAAGTCTTTACTCAGAATTACCCTTAGATCTTAAAGCGACGTATTTTTGTTTTTTAAAAAAGCACCGCGGACAACCTAGTATGCGAACGTAGTGAACAAGAGACTGCTATATCAAATTGATAGACCATGATGATAAGAATGCCATATTAACGCCATCTATTGCCAGGAATGTGCAAAATTCCTCTGGATTTGCAAACGCCCTCATATCCGTTTATTAATATGTGGAGTACCTACTTGCGTAAACCAAATACAATATGCCAATACACTTACGCGTAAATAGCTAATAAAAATTTCCTTTGATGAGTCCTTACTCGACCTGGGTCCACCCTTTTCACACGCCGAGTATGTTTGTATATTAACCACGTTTCCCGCAGAACATTTGCTGCGGCATTTTTCAGCTGAAATTTCATAATCAGAATGTCGCTATAGTTAGGAAATTGTTTAATTTTCGACTACCATTATATATTTATGGGCATTCACACAGTGCGGTTAGTACCTAAAGCTCACAAAACCCTATCGAATAATAATCATATTCTAATTTCGTGCTACCAAACCATTAACTCATCAATTTCTATATTTGTATTCACCAATTTGTTTTAATAATTTTCCAGTTATAATTTATGTATGATCCCTAGCAATACTCTAATGTCTAAATGTCTTGTCTAATATAACCTAGAAATGTCTAAATTAAGATTTATGCATTTGTATAACGCGTACTACGCTTGGCTACTCGTGTATGAAAGACCTAGCCTTTTTGAATAACTAACGACTTGAGCCTTGAAAATAAGCGGAGTCTACATATTAGTTCTTACCTCACAGGGTACATTGTATTAAATTTACCTTTTTTGTAAGTTGCGTTTCCATCATGAAGTTATGCACATGTTTCTCCGCTCTAGTTAACTCTAACTTTCTTGAGGCAACGGTCACTAATAATGCTGTGCATCCTGCCCCCTGTTAATTAGATTACAATGATTGTGATGAGCCGACATCAATAATACTTACTCTTTTAGTAAGTTGTGTGTCCATCATGAAGTTATGAACGTGCTTCTCAGCTCTAGTTAATTCTAATTTTCTTGAAACAACCGCGACTAATAACGCAGTGCATCCAGCTCCCTGTTAAGTGAATATCTTAATGTAATGCAAGCGAATGTGTAAGAAGCATTCAAGAGCATCTCTAACACATTCATTGCCGCTATCTTTGATGGAAAGGTTCATTGTAATACTCACTCAATCACAAGCTTTATCATAAAGATCACACAACTCAACATATATTAGAATTTTTAAATGTTAATGTTATCTTACATTTGTTAGGGCCTCTTGGATCTAAGGCATTGAATGTGTTAAAAGAAAATGCGTTATCGAGGCTAGAAAAAACAAAATTATTTATTCGATATTTTATTTAGTTGCGAGGATAATAGACACAATTTTGTCAGAAGACTAAATAGAACATGCATTATACGAAGCGTAAAGTAAAATTAATTTTAGATTTAAATTTGCATCGATCACCCTCATCTATTACAATGTCATCAATTAGTTTATGTTAACACTTTTAAAATTATTGTTTAAATTAGTGCTATATTAAAATTTTCCTAATAATTTTAAAGTATGAAAGTCGTTTTCTAAGCCCATTTCTGTCCATGAAAAACGATGTTTCACACTTTTAACATTACATAAGAAGAAAAGTTAGAATTTGTGATTAAAATCCAATCCGTGCAATTATGTCTAATTGTGCGAATTCACTCCAATGTTATTCGAACTACCACACCGTCCGACAACCCCATGGTTACTATAAGAGGTGCTATACCACACACTTTATAAAGATTTTAGGAAAAGTGAGCCATTTTAAACATAAATTTATTGTGCATTAGTGAAAGTCACGTGAATAGAGCAAGAGACAGAAGAGAAATGAAGCATTCCATACTACTGAAGACTAAAATTAGCTGGCTTTAACAGGGAAATGGACGTTTGATTATTTCAAAAACGATATTTACGTATTTATTGTGTTTTGCTCAACTAAAACAATTTTCACATGTAAGTGTACATCAAATGTGTCACGGTATAAACTTAAACATTATATTGCAGTATAATATATAGTATTACATAATATAGTTTCGGCATTGTTCTGTGAACATATAGTGAACATTTATTATATCGATCTGGTTAGCGTTTCTTATACAGAGTATTGACTGAAATGAAACAAACATCAAATCAATTCTGTACATACATATTTAACATCTTATTTTGTCAGTCAACACAACGACTATTTTATCAAACTTACCATAATACCGGTGCTTACGGCTATACCTCTGCCACAATATGTGTTTGGCACAATGTCACCAAAACCAACGGAGAGAAAAGTAATTGCGATAAGCCACATCGCATTGAGCAGATTAGCATGTTCTTCGTCGTGAAACCTTTTGAAAATAAATGTAATTTCTTTACTTTGCGAACAATATATTTTTCAAAATACCAATCCTGAATGTGTCCCTACCTCGTGTACGCAAGCAAGTCAACAGAATTGAAATAAGGAGAAATCGTAGGAAGAAGGAGTAACAACGATCTAGAAGAGTTTGACTTTGATTATAACACTGATCTCATTATGCAATGGTATATAAAATGGCTCACCTTTGCCGATGTTAGAGACATAGCAAGATCCGATAGCATCTTGCCATGCCTTAATTATTTTAAGCTGTCCTTAACAGTGCCTACCACATTTCATACATACCACCATACCGCAGGTGAGAGTAATGCCGCGACCGCAGTATGTGTTGGGTACGATATCGCCGTAGCCGACACAAAGGAAGGTAATAGCCGTCAGCCACATAGAGTTTAGCAAATTGGCATGGTCTTCATCGTGGAACCTGAGAGCCAAAACGCCCGACAAGAACCACATGGTAACCGAATAAACAACCAATTTATGTGAATAGTATTCAATTAATTTTTTAGTTAATATATCATTTTGATATTGTGAATTAAATTTAGGACATCACAATTTTGGCATGCCTTTTAACAATGAACAGAAATTTATCTACATACTAACACGATTTTGGTTGATACAACGTGCAGTCTAAACACTTTGACAGAAACCAATTATATATAGCCATGCTTTGATACCAATTAGAACGGGGCTGCAACAGACAACACGAAAGAACAACGTAGCAGGAAGAAGGAACGCAAAGAGAATTTAAGCCTGCCGAGTCTGATATCCATATAAGTGAACAATAGTGCTCTAACACTGTAGATTAAGCAAATAATAGAAACGATAATATATTCAAGTGTACTGTGCCGAGCGTTGACAAAGTATCAATCATCACTCGTGAAGCAGAATGTATCAAATCAAGCATTATTTACAAACGAATATATTTTGTGTGCGGTAGCTTTTAATCAGACGTTTCACAACACCGATTTTTTATTATACAGTGAATTCTAAATCTAACACATAATATTCTAGAATATACATAAATGTTCTAACACGTTAGCTACATTTGCAAAAATAGTCAAAGTCAAACTCTTGTCTCTCATTGCGTTGAATAACAACTACGTTTCTTGAAAATTCAAATAAAGGTAAAGAAAACATAGACAGGGATAAAAAGCAAAACAAATGTCTCCACACCACAATACATAAGCATCATTCCCGTTTAGGCGATACATCATTCGTACACCGGTCGTGAAAATAAAAATAAAACTAAATGAAAGCCAAAATACTGATGATACATAAGTGAATTTATTACACGTATGACTAAATGAAACCATTAATGATATTTTATATCAATTTATTAGCTTATACACGTTATTGCACATTGAGAGTTGTTTTATTACTGACCTTTCGCATTGTCGAAGCGTCCAACTCGCTATTATCCATAGCGATACCATGAATACAAGTAACACGGTGCCAGGGCATATGGTCATTAGAGTCTTCAATACAAATCTGAAATTCATTTCAACAAAGCTGTTAATAAAATTTCAGACGGTCGCCGAGAATACCATCTTATATATTTTAATTGACGTATAATAATCTATGTATATAAAAATAAGTCGGGTTTTCCTTCCTGACGCTATAACTCCAGAACTCACGAACCGATTTCCACGGTTTTGCTTTCGTTGGAAAGGTCTCGGGCTCCGTGAGGTTTATAGTAAAGAAAATTTAGGAAAAATTTCAACAGAAAAGCGGGATCACCAAACGAAATGTTACATAAAACGAAGCCCGAATCTGGTGGCGAAACGGGGTTCGCCGAGTTTGCTAGTTGACGTATAATAAACGCATGAACTTAAACCGCACTAGAATTGAGGATACCAACACTGAAGTTTTCGTTGAACTTGCGATGCTACATTACGTTACGTTACGTTGCAACACGTAAATCTACCTTATGTCTTTGCTTCGACTCATTTGTTTCGTGATTAAATATAATAGCGATACTATACCTACTTGGAAATATAATATGACTGGATATTATGGGTACAAAACGCCAAATTATTCAAATTTGCAGCTACACGTAGGAAGGATATTACTATTTATTTAATTAAATTTATAATTTCAAATAAATTTTTAAACCGCTGGTAATCGCTGTTTAATTAAAACTGGTTCAACTCATTAGTTTTAAGTTGGTGGCGATGGGGGTTAAAGGATTTTTGAGATACATATTATAAAATACCTTGTGTTAAAATTAATTCTGTTGAGGGCTCCTATACTCCTCGAAGAAGCGTCTGTGAAGAGCTTACTATGAAGTAGCATGACTCTGCATATTAAATAAAGCCGTAGAAACATTGGAAGAGACAGAGTGACGTCATAAGGTACCTGGAATGGGAAGAAATGCTTGTTGTAAAAACATTACGTATATGAACTTAAGTGAAAAACTCGAGGTCAAGCAACATTCTATGAATCATAATAAAATGTTCAATATTAATATATATTTGTTAAGGTTAGTAATCAGTTAAAAAAGCTAATGCTTAACCAACTTCTAGAATTGATTAACGAAATTTTTATCATAAATTATCAATTATTTTCCGCGTGTTAAATTTATAAACAATAAAGTGAAATATTTAATTAAATTGCAGGTCAAACACCGCGCAACTCATGTTTTACTCAGGTGAATGAAACAATATGAACTAATTATTTTGTCGAATAAAATATTACAATGAATGTAATTATAAGTTTCATCACACACAATTTAAAAAATCGATTTTAAAAAGATTTAGTAATGAAAAGTGCGATTCTAAACTTTCTCAACCCAGCTGTGCTCTAACATTTTTTCCTTCTTAGTTGCTCTAAAAGAAGAATTTGCTCTACGGTGAAGATCAAACTTTTAGACTGTCTTAGACGCAAAAAAACAACGCGAGACAAGCGCGGCTTACCTAAAATAAACATATTTTAATGATACAGCAAAACTAATTTTTTCTTGTCTGTATCATTGTCGGGGTTTTCATATAAACTACCATCAATTTCATAATTTCACAGACATCAGAGCAAGGAATATTTTAAGATACTCTAGCAGTACACTGTAGTCATTTCTTAATTGGCCTTTTGGACTTTCACATATAATTACGTATTGCGAATTGGGTTATTTACAAAGGATTACAAAATTAAACATCTACCATGCCTTGTGAATGGACACAAACACTCAATCAGTTTGCACTCAAATACAGACCTGAATTTGTTTGTAAATTGTGCCCTGGGAGAAATAAAATTAATGTTAGGGAATCATAATACACAAAAAATATATAAAACTTTTTATTAAAAGTTTTATGATATGTATTTATTTTATTCTAACCCGAATTTGAACCGTTTTTGTTTTATATATATAATAAAATTCTGCAAAAATAATATTGAAATATAAATTAAAAACGCAATTATATATTAAAATACTATATGATAGTAATGTTATAAATCAAATTAATGACTATTTTTTTAATTAAGATCTCAAGACATAATAGTTTTTATTTATCTCTTAACTTTAAGATATTAATTAAGTAATATAAATTTTTCCTCTATTTTCCGAGACTCAAAAAAGGCATTAAATTAATGTTTTCACGATAACCCTTAGAATTCGATGGCGGTAGTCGAAATTAAATTTGTATTTTTTTTAATTAAATATATTTTTTGGACTTACAACTTCAACCCCAATGACACCTCCTTTATTGGCCAGCTTGGTTGTCCACGTGAAAGTATACTGTCCAGGTATGGGGTGAACGGCACAGATGCTCAACTCCAGGCCGATTTGTGCTATCCTTTGCCACGTCATGGCTATCCGCCAATCGTCAGCGCAGTTGTCTATCATAAATAACTGGAAATGTTTAATTAATAATTTAAGATAATACTTTATGCCTTCATTTTAAGGTGATAAAATTTTGAAGAGAAAAAAAAATATTCTTCTGGTAAACACATTCGCTGTAAGCTTATTTACGTAGGGTAGTAGAAGTAGCGCTAACTATGATTTCCATATGTCTATAAAGTATTGGATTTTATATACGCGACTCTCTACTCGAAATTTTACGGTAATTTATGGTATAAAGACTTTTGAAGTAGTCGGCTTTATTGATTCAGTTTGATATTATATACATCAATCTCTTGAATTATTCTTGTTTAAATAGCGTTATGAAAAATCTATCTTTTTTAATTACCACTGGGCTGAACTTTGTTAGCATTTACGTCAAATCGCATAATGCTTGCTTTCTTTTATAAGTGTCATTGTGTTGTAGCTTCATTTTGTTTTCATTACTTGATAACAGATGGCGCTACGAGTGTCCTTTGAAACGATCCTAAACCGTTTAACTCTGTGTATTTCATTTTTATTGGAATTTTTATCCTCACTTAATAATATAATTACCTGTATTTCTAAGGCGTGGTACGCGACGATTAGGCCAAGTAAGATCACAGTTGACATTGATATAAGAGTTTTCAGTGCCTGAGAATATATTGAAGCCTGAAATCATAAATAATAATCATAGTTAGGCTTAAATTGTGAATATATTTTTTTATACATTTATACAAATTTATTTTTATATTTTTGATATTGTAACGTTTATTTATTAGTAACTATCGATTTCTCGTCTCGAGGACTAGAACACAAACAAAAGATTTTTTGAATATATAATATTGAATTGATAAAGGCTTAATAATTCTGATTGGTGCGTTGGTGGACACGTCTTTACAAGTTAAGTATTTATATTAAAAATATATATCCTTACCTTACTATATACACCGGCACTAGATAGTTCATTTTCTATAACCATAATAATTATACCAAACATTCCCATTACTAACGCGTAATCACTTATCCTTTTTCTTTTTTCAAATAATGCCTTTCTCCTACCTAACCTGAAATTAAAAAAAAACATTAAATCAATACAACTTTTTTTTTAAAACAACTGACAGACGATAAGTTATCATAATAGCTTTTCGCCGTGAATTAGTCACGTAATAAGTCTATCTACTAATATTGTATATACTAAATATACCAATATGACAACTGACAGTAGATTGTTTAAACGTCATACGTCATAACTGATTTAAAAAAAGAACATGTATGTATGTTGTTGGGAAGAAGGTACCATAGGTAATTTATTACCTACGGCAAATATTCTAACATTTAATTTATTCTGCATTATTTCTGTCCTCCTTTATAAGCTAGCATGTTATGTTTTGCTTTTTTTTTAATTTCTTTGTTTCTATATATTTAAGTTTGTTAGTAAAAAACTTAAGAAAAAAACAATAAATTTGAAACCCATTTACGCGCGAAAATATACTGAAATATTTATAATAAACGTACAATTATTACAGTCTCTCTGTTAGGTTACCGTGTTTGGAAAGTCGGATAATTCGATCATTCCACAGATGGACCAACAATGTACAGTGTGCTATCAATAAAGCTTATCTGTGGATAGTAAGCGATGGCACGAACTCTATTTCGGACTGAATTAATATTTCTGCCACTCGATACTTACAGTTAGACCCATATTAAATATCTTACATAGGTAAGTCCGATGTTATATGGGAGATAAGGTTGTAGAAATAACTTAGATTTAGCCTTCTTTTTACCCAGATGTTGTTGTAGGAATTGTTCGGCCAGGAATTGAGACCAACCGCTTATAAGCGGTAATTTATACGCATATTTTAAGTCGTATTCCAATATTCTTAAGTCAGTAGTTATTCACTCGCAAATGCTAGTAGCTATACTTAACATAGTAAGGTATGCTGCTTATAGTAGTGTACTTAATGTATACTAATAAAAAAAAATGGTGATTTTTTAAATCTAAAACAGCTGTTGGCTGCCTCCTTTATGCGTAGAAGACGTTCCTTTGACTGAATTATCAATTACGCCTTAAACACAGGGGTTATATACTATTTTTATTTATTTTATTTATATAATAGGGGGGCAAATGAGCCTGCGAGACGCCCAAAAAGGGTAGTCATCGCAGTCCACAGACACCCATTTTTAGTGGGTGCGTTGCCGGCTTTTGAGGGAGGAGTATACTCGAATTTTGAACATTTGGGGGTCGTATCTCTCGGCGAAGACCCCCAGCGGGAGTCCATTCCACAGTTCGCTAGTTCGCAAAAGAAAATGAATACCATGTGAAACGGACTGTGGAAGACTTCCAGCCATCAAAGTGATATAAGTATTAGGTCCTTACATATGAAATTGGCGTATTTAGTACTGGCCACTTTAATCACGATGTTCTCCTATTTGGTAAGGAATTCCAAATTCAAATTTGTACAGCTATTTACTCATGTATTTGTGCTTCGATGACCGTCATTCATTTGTTTTTTTCTTCTGTTTTTTTCTTCTGTTTTTTTCTGTTTGCGTCACTCATTTTACAAAATGGAAAACTTAAAGTATCGCATTATTTACGAGTACGAGTTCCGCCGTGGCACTAGTGCTGCGGAAACGACTCGAAGGGTGAATGATGTGTATGGCGGTCATGTTGCAAAAGAAAACACAGTTCGTTTTTGGTTCCAACGTTTTCGTTCTGGAAATTTCGACCTGCAGAACAAGCCCCGTGGACGGCCTGAGACCCAAGTTGATAATGAAGTATTGAAGGCTATTGTGGAAGCGGATCCATCGCAAACCACGTCCGAGTTAGCTGCAGGCTGCGGTGTTAGTGATAAAACTGTTTTAATTCACTTGAAGCAAATTGGGAAGATTAAAAAGCTTGAAAGATAGGTACCTCACGAATTGACTGAAGCAAACCGGCAAACGCGCGTCGACTGCTGCGTTACATTACTGAACCGGCACAATAATGAAGGTATTTTAAACCGAATCATTACCTGTGATGAAAAATGGATTCTTTACGATAATCGAAAGCGCTCAGCGCAATGGTTGGATCCTGGCCAGCCAGCCAAATCCTGCCCCAAGCGAAAATTAACCCCAAAAAAGTTACTTGTAAGCGTTTGGTGGACTAGTGCCGGTATTGTTCATTGCAGTTTTCTCAAATCTGGCCAGACTATTACGGCTGATGTCTATTGTCAGCAATTGCAAAGCATGATGGAAAAGCTAGCGGCTAAACAACCTAGGCTGGTCAATCGCTCCACGCCACTGCTACTTCACGACAACGCTAGACCACACACTGCACAACAGACGTACAGGGCTACCAAATTAGAAGAGCTTCAATTGGAATGTCTAAGACATCCTCCGTACTCCCCGGACCTTGCTCCAACAGATTACCATTTATTTCGAAATTTGGACAACTTCTTGCAAGGAAAAAAATTTAACTCTGATGGGGCAGCCCAAATCGCCTTCACAGATTTTGTTGATTCCCGTCCGACTGGTTTTTTTAGTAAAGGGATCAATGAACTAACTATGAGATGGCAAAAGTGCATAGAAAACAATGGTTCATACTTTGATTAATTTAATATATTATATTTAAAAATATTCGACTTTTTGTTCCTCCCATACAAAACGCCAATTTCATATGTTAGGACCTAATATATACACTGTAAGTATATATGTATATATACGTATATATAGGATACACTCACAAAAAAGGATTTTTAAAATCGAAACGAAGGAAAGAACGTCGACGTAATATATATATTATTCTATAAGTCAATGGTAAATTTTATTACTTAATCGCTCCAAGCGTTGTCTATTGAAGGATTACCAAATTTATTCAAGCGTCCTTCTAATAAAGACTGAACTAATTCTTAAGTCCAGTCACGGATTTGCGAGGCTTCTGGCAATTTGAGTTTCCATAGGCGGCAATCACTTATCACCATCTTCTGAGTAGGACGTAATAGTTCACATGCGAAACCAAACTCAATAATTAGGTTTGTTTGCCAATACAATTATATCGATCTTTAGTTTACGCGGTATCATTACATAAATTCGTAGTGTAAAATGATAGTATGGATAGAGTTGCAACATGTCATCAAGAAAGAATGGGCTGAATTATTTAAAGCAGCTAATGCTAGTCTAAAGATGGACAAATCAATACCACACCATTCGCGATAAAATGAGGTTAATATGAAATTAAATATAGATTTTATTACACGATGTAAAGTTTGTATATAATTATTGTTTAGCTAAACCATACAGTAGCTATTTAAGACACTAATGTTAATGTACTAAATTTTTAGACAAAAATGAGGGATAATGTTATTTATAATCTTCTGTGCTTCTGTTTGTAATTAAACTTCTCGTGTGTTTTCCAATTGAATTCAAGGATTAGATGATTTTGTTGTTTATTTTAGACGTGTAGAGAACATTGTCCTTCGGGTCCGCCCGAATAGTTACAATTTTAAAGTTTTATAATCATTCATTTGAGTTTGAAAACTGTTTAAATTTACGTGTTCAGTAAGTTGTTTTGTAATAAAACAAGTCGTATAACCTGTCAATCGTAGGGAGTATGACTATTATTATTATTTTTTTAAATAAAGAAGAGTTTATTTCCAATGAACAATGAAAGCTAAATTATAACAAGGGAAGATGGTCAAAATACAAATTTATGTATATTAACAAGCTTAACTTACTTAATAACCTTCCACCACGAAAAAAACTGGGTCACCGTATAAAGTAACCACAATATATTATTTATTTGTGATCGTGACTTGGGAGAAATGAATCAATTCTCTTGTAAAAATAGAAATTTCTTTAACCGCATCATAGAAATATTGAAGACTATTCAGAAGATTATTCAGAATTGATAGGAAGAACGCGGAATTCTAAATCAATAATATATCATTCAACCATTGTGAATCTTATAAAAGAGCCTGGCTTGTTTCCAATCCTTATAAGATAAAGAATATTAATGTTCTTGTAGAGTTAACATTTCAGCTAAAGCCGAATAAAGAAAAGAAGCTAAACTAAGTCTAAGATCAAGCAACCTTCGATTTTTATTGAAATCGGTGATAAATAAAAATAAGTTTGACATCGTACAAATATAGGTCGTACCACAAAAATATTTTTTGCGTAAATCAGAAGATTTAAGCACTGATCTTGTATCACAGCGTAATTCATTACATAGAAAAGAGGACTGTTATAATTAAAAAAGAATAAAATATAACTTATTTTTATGAATATATAAACATATAAACATTTATGTTTGGATCTTGTGATTAATGCACAGCTCTCAAGCGGCGTGCCAAGTTTATTACTTATTGGTAACCACTCTTGAGACTGAAAGTAACAATGTTATTAGGAGTAATAAAGGAATTATTGTGAGCGTTTTCCTTTGCAATTTAGGGCAAAATTAGGTTTCGTTTGTTTAGGTATAACAATTCTCCATATCGTGTAATATATATAACATTATATGTACCTGTAAGTCTGGTTTAATTAGTAAACACGGCGAAAACAACAAGTTATAAATTTTACACATACATAGAAAGTATCAATGGACATATTTTGTTATTTTTTGCATATTACTTAAAAAATTGAAATTACATGGAAAGAAGTACGGAATTTGCGGACGAACGATTGCAAAGAATACTGATATTTTTATAATATAAAGTATTTATAACATTATTTATAAAGCTCAACCTTTCAAGTGTTTTCTGCGATCATAGTCAGTGAGATCCATAAACATTAATAAAAACAAAGAAAACAAAACAAAATGAAACAAGGGCTGCTTAAATCATTTATGAGATCGTGTCTCAGGCGGTAGAACCCACCCAAATATTAAGCAATGCGATCATACGGTTATGTGTAGAAAAAATTGGTGAAACAGTTACTTGGCTTGGTAATTATTTCTAAAGTGTCTATGCAAAAAGTTAATAACAAAGTATTTTATGCGAAAATTATTTAAATTACTGAGGATCGATTAAAATTTATGTTAACGTAGTTGGGTCACAGAAGTGATTTCCCCAGCCCCAATATTTGATTTGTCCCGACTGTTAATATTTGCAATACTCGAGTCGTGTTCATAATAGTAATATTACTCAACATAGATTGCTTTTAAATTACTTTTAACCTCATTGTCATACTAATAATGATCAAAGAAAACTGAACCCCGCTATTACTTTATTTCAATATAATAAACTTTTTTCTAAAGCTTGTAAAAAGTATATTGAATGACTGCGTGTTACGAAATTTGATAGATTTTCTTAAAACTCGAACCCAGGTTTGATAATAAAGCAAAGACTGAAACAAATTATTAATTGATTTCCTAATTGATAGGCGAATCAGGTGTCAAAATTCACCTAAAATACTCTCAAGAAAAAAAAAAACCTGTGGCACTCGGGGACTGCGCGGTAAAGCTATTGCATAATTTTTTTTTCAACTTATGCAATTATAATTATTTATTTATGCAGTATTTTTTTTCTTTGGTATTAATTCAAGTTTTTTCTTTGATAAATTAATTCAATCTACCACTCTACCAGACTCAGACTAACTCGCCTATATAGTCTGTCTCACTCTAACGCGCACTGGTTGCACCGATCTCGTCAGAGAGATGTGAATACGCAGTATGCGTTCTGTCCCGCTCTAACGCGCAAGGTTTTTTTCGTTACGGAATTTCTGGATTCGGTCTCCACGCTCGAAGCCCGCGATAGAAGCTATGCAATAGCTTAAAAAAAAGGATTTTTTTAGAACAAGTCTACTCTAACTGAAACTACTAAGATATTATATTTAGCTTACCTATATCCTATATTAGGTTTGTGTTTGGCAGCTCCCCCGCCCTTATAAGTACCACCGCCGAGAGCCCTCTCTTCGCCGAAGCGAGGGTACTCGCTGTGGACTCCCACCAGGGCGACTCCGGCCTCCTCCGTCGCTTCCCTTCCGGAGTACGCCTTCATCGTGCCAGGGATCGAGAGAGTCGATACCGGCTTTCGCAGCTGGAAATTTACAAGTAAAAAATAAGTGTAAATACATACATATTGTATATCGTACATATTTTAGTAACTCACATCATTTTTCTATGTGTAAGTGTTGTATACAAATGCATATTGAGCTATCTTCAAACGCTTAGAAAAATGATTAAAGTGTACATTTGTAAGTTATTATAAAAGAGCTGGTTTATATATATAAAAATGTTCGTATGTTATGAATAAATAAAAAGATTTCAAGAAAACCGTAATAGCATTAGGATCTGAGTACAGCACTTCGGTAGCCCAATATAACAGAAATGAGTTTTGGAATCACGTCGGCAATTCAGCTAAGTTTGCCAATCCCATTCGCTTTGAGTATCAGATTAGGCTGAGTAAACCATAATATGTAATAATACAGTGTAGTGGTAATACAATCTGATCCTTGAAGTCATCACCTTGAAACTATTCACTATATTTACAAAATATATACTTATAATACATTATTTATATATAAACATTATTTACCTGTTGACGTATTTCGTAAAATTGTATGTACCTATTTAACATATAATTGAAGACAAGATTCATTTCTTTATTAGGATTAGGAATTGAGTTAGGGGCTGTAAGCTGTTTGTGTGTGTGTACTGTCAGTTTTGACTTTGACAAACATGAACCTTGTTAACTGTCAGTACTGTACAGTGTACAATATCGACGCAGTGTCAGTGGTAGTCATAAAACATCGGACTTCGTAATTTTATAATACATATATTTTATTACAGCTTTGCAAAATATTGGAGAATGTACCAGAAAACATCAGATCGTCTCCATTCGAGGCAACATACTAATGATTAGCACTAACGGTAGTATTCGTCGATTGCATTTTTCCGAATTGCGAAAAAAATATAAGTTAATAAAAAACGGTGAATTGTCTATCCTACCAGATGCCCTGGTAAAAATATTATTCTTAAAATAATTTAATTTTACTCTATAAAGTTTCCAAGTTAACCTTTTTCAGGTATTATGTTCATGGGCAAGACAAAATAAAATATTTAAAACGGGAATATTAATAATACAAACACAAATATTATGTCTGAACCCGTAAAACGCAACGATAGTTTTTAATATCATATAGGTTTTATCTAGTAGGTACGATAGCGAAACAAAACAAACTTTTAAAACATAAACTTATTTATAAATACATCAATCTTCGTTATATAGCCCTTCATCACATTTTGAAACTTCACCCGATCCTGAATGATGGACTACTTAGAATACAAATTGATGTAGAGTATTTAAAGTGATTGCTAAGCCTCATATAAAAAATATATATATAAAGGTTGGAGGCTAACCTAATGTTTTGAAACCGCCCCTGGACGCCCACATTGCCAGAAGGTTTGTGAATGCGTTGGCGGACTTATAACAATCATGTCTAAAAATAATTATTGTTCGTTATTCAGCTAACTACCGTATGAAGCCTTCTTTATTGTGTATAATGGGATTTGTTATAACAATTCTGTCTAAATGGCAATGTATCACGGCTTCAAAATGTATCATTGGTCTAGATGTCCGAAATATAAATGAACAAATTTTCTAGCTTTGTATTATTCTTTAATAAACTAAGGTTTTTAAAAGGCTTAATAATTAATTTATTATGTAGTTGTAAGCAATATAACGTTAATATTGTCGTCTATCACGTTAAAAAAAACGTATTGTTAATAGTCAACACAGGTCATAAACCACGCGAAACGTTTGTATTTTTAATTATAATAAACCATTTGTAATAACGCCGTACAGTCTGTTAATAAAGAATTTTGTGTTAAAAATAAACTTTGTTCTATTTTTGAATCTCGTTACTGTAATCTGTGGATGTCTTAGCGGGGTCATTTTTCGTGCCTTTGTTCATTGTATTCCTACAGTAGACAGTTGACACAAAAAGCTTATTATTAACTTAATGAGATTTAATTTGGTTGTTATGTTCGCGTGCGAGTTAACGCCCAAGTTATTTATGGGCTGGGTTAGTCATAAAAAGGCAATCCTATTTAGAGGAATTTAGATTGTAGAATACAATAAATTAAATGTCATTGCTTTAAAGCATATACATTGGAGTTGCTAATGGGTAAGCGTTGCTCTATATATTATGATATGATTTTGCATTAAAAATATATTTTTTTACATTAAATTTTAGTAATAGATACTGCTCTTACTGTTTGTAGGAGTCTTATGAAAACTCATAACTATGTACATATTACATTATAATTTCCATGTTTAAATTATGCTGTCATAATTAAAGTCACGATTTAAATTACACAACATTTTTTCTTTGAAATTTGAAAATGAATAAGTTTACATTATTTTTTTATAAAGTAAATAATACGGTTTCAGTCAATAATACTTTCAAATTGATGTATCGTTTGCCATTAAGATACTTAACAATGAGGTAGATTGCCCTAACCTTTTAACAAAATTTAAATATCGTGTACCCAGTAGATATCCCAGAGATCCCATCATTTCATTTGTCCCTCCTTTCCGGAGAACGCGTTTTGGCCAAAATTCACCGATGTCCAGATTGAGCATTCTGTTAAACGAGCTGGATCTGGATATCCATAGTTGCTCCCCTCACACTTTAAGAGCGATTTTCGTTTAATGTTTATTTAAATTATATTATTGTTTTGCTTAATTTATTTTTATTATTTCTTATATGCCATTTTTGCCTGTAAGTTCTTGACACATTAAAAATTGTATTTTATTTTTCTTTTATCAATGTATCAGTGTGCCGAGCGTTGGCAAGCTTTTATAAATAAATAAAAATGAAAAGAAAATATTGACCATTTTAGAATATTATAAAAGATATTAAACCAACTTTATGGATTATAAAAACGTCAGTTATACCAACGAACATAATACCAGAGAGTTTGTAAAAAGTCAATGATCTAATTCTAATTTATTACACCTTGTGAAAAATGGATAAAGTCGGCAATAAAGTCTCGAGAATCGTCCAAGCTTTAAATTTAGAAGGGATATTTTTTCGACCGCAGCCAAAGAGGTTTTAGAAATTGTACTTGGAAAAAATTCGTAGTGAAATTGGAAATTCACAGAACGTGTGTGTTCTTTTAATAAAATACACACTGAGTATGGTGTTAGTTAAGACATCCTGCCCTTTTTAATGTATTCTTACTGATATTCCTACAAATTTAACTAGTGAAAGTATTAATATAATTAAGGTAATACCAAAGAGAATATTATATTAAAAGTCTTTGGATTCATGTAACGTTCAAGGTAAGCCATAATATAGCTCATAAACTATTCCAAGATGCTTAAACAAAGCGTATGTGTATTGATTAACCCAGATTCTTCTCAAATATTAATTAGTTTTCTCCCTGAACTAAAAGTTATGGGCGTATAAGTGATGCTTAAGAACCGCTGTCGTAGAAACTTCGTTATAAGTTGGATCGCAACTTCATTAAATAGCAGATAATATCTTGGCTAATTTTATTCTGCGCTGTTGACAATTTTAAATTGAGCTAATAAGTTATGCAACGGAAACTTGTTTCCGTTTAAGTACTCCTCGTTTATGAGCGGCAGAGAAAGATATTTTCTAGTTTATTTTAAGGTTCATTGATTTAACCTCTATAAGACAATAGAATTAAAAAAAACAGTGGCGCTATAATTCTTGGTTGTGGCCTTAGATTTCAGTATCTGTTTCGTGATGTTTTGCCTATTTCTATTGGTAAGAAGATGATCAGCCTTTTTTGCCTAACACGCCGTCTTTTTATCTAACGGTTACACCGGTTTCGTCAAATTTACTTAGGAGTGACAAATGCATAGACCGAAAATTCCATTGGTGCATAGCGCAGGTTCGAACCTTCGTCCTAACGGTTGAAATGTACACACTCAACATTGCTCTCTAATAGAAGGCATTATATATAATATGATTTCTTTCGTCATATTTTTATGTGATAATATTTAATAGTTAATTTATCTAATATATAAAATTGTCGTGTCACAATGTTCGTTCCCATTCTCCTCCGAAACGGCTCGACCGATTCTTATGAAATTTTTTATGCATATTATATAGTCTGAGAATCGGCTACTATCTATCTTTCAAACCTCTAAGTGATAAGTGCCAACCTCCAGTAGTGGAGAGGCACTACAAGAAAAAAAAGTGAAAAGAGTTGTCCACCCCAAAAAAAATATTTTTATTTCTTTTATAAATTTTTATTTTTTATTATGTGGCATTAAAAAATTCCTACAACCCTTAATTTTCCTACCCCTACTTTTTATTATAGTAGATAGTTATATTTTTTGAACTAAAAAATGTTTCCTAGAAATAATATACATGGCAAAACGTTTACCGGGTCAGCTAGTTTAACATAAAATTACATTATGTAATTTATTTGATATGATTGCTTAAGCAGTTAGCACGTTACTCATTCCGCAAATGCATGCAGCACACATTAATAAACATAATTATAGGTGATATTATGAAAGGTATATGTGCTGCATCTATTACGTGGAGTTATCAGCAAAGATGACGGATACATTATTATAAAGCAGTTATTGTGCGCTGATACCCAAAATATCCCTTATATTTATGCCTCATATGAAACTTGATGCATGTATTTTCTTACTATTAATTATTAAATCAAGAAGATATTTAAAAATAAATATTTTGCCTCGTTAAAATTGTCGTGATCAAGAAAAAACGATTTAATATTCCGTAAGTGTTTAGCACATTTCTTTGTCCAGCTCAGTTCAACGTGTGGAATATGGCCAAGATTTTAAGATGAAGATTTTTTGAAATGAAAGGAAATAAGATTTTCTCGTTTTCTCTTTGTATTCAAATGAGACTGAGATTAACCTAATTGATTTACACATCAGATATTTTAAATAACTTTAAATGCTATTTTACAAGTAGGTACTTGTACATTATCTTACATATCAAATGATTTTGTATACGCATTGTGAATATAATTTAATATATTTTTAAT